TATCAAGCCTCAAGGAGGTGACTCAACTTTGTCCACAACTTGATTACCAAATTGATTCTATGAAGAATAATCTGTCCATTGGCTGCTTTGGCTGTTTGCATTCCCAACACTTTTGTGAAGGACATTCCAGCCTGTCTGTCTTTCCGTTCAGATGTCCACACTAGTTTCTGGATCCTGGTGGTGTGTTCAGAGGGAGAACCAGACTATCAGCCCCACTGGTAGCAACGGTGGCTGCCCATATAGAGCACCTTAGATGCCATGCCGGGCGCTGTGCTGGCTCCCAGTCCTGGACAATGATCTTATGAGGCGGTCACTGCTGTTAGGCACACTTCCCAGATGGGAAAACCGAGGCACAGAGAGGGGAAGGAATTTGCTCAAGATCACACAACCAGCCAGAGGCAGAGGTGGGATTTGAAGCTGAGCAGTTTGGATCTTGTGCTGGTGCTGTTCTCAAGTCGAGACAAAGCTGTGCATGTATGGGACCCCCTCCCCCCTCCTCCCCCCGCCCTTTCCTCATCCCTAAACATGCAATGTCACATTGGAAACACACAATTCCAGAGTAGCTGGCCACACACTCCAGCTCCACAAAGCTGAATTGCTTTGCACGAGCATGCCTGGTAGTGCCGACACAACATCACGGGTGCACACACTCACATACAGGGCGCTATGCTTTTCCGGCCTATTCAGGGCTATAGAGACCTGAACCTAGCTTTTCCAGAGACTTGGCTAACTTGTACACCACGATTCCCCCTTCTGTGTCTCTTTCTTCCTTCAACACATGTTAACATTGCCACAGCTCGAGACCAACTCTATTCAATTTGATTCTTTCCTTCCCTTTTCCCCCTTCTTTTCTTGTTTACACACTCCCCTCCATTTGGTTGCTGTCTCCCTCGCGTACTTACTCAGCAGACACCACTAATAGTCTCTGTTATGCTTTGCCTCTGCCCTGGGGGAGACAGAGGATCCAGGCCAGCTAGAATTTGACACAGGGTAGGGGGGAGGCCGCCTGCAGGGGCTGGGAAGCAGTGCAGAACCCAGAGACAGGGGCGCCTGGGTGGCTCAGCCGGTTAAGCGTCCAACTTCGGCTCAGGTCATGATCTCATGGTTCGTGGGTTCGAGCCCCGCATCGGGCTCTGTGCTGACAGCTCAGAGCCTGGAGCCTATTTCGGATTCTGTGTCTCCCTCTCTCTCTAGCCCTCCCCTGCTCACGCTGCCCCCCGCCCCCTGTCTCTCAGAAATAAATAAAACATTAAAAAAATTTTAAAAAAGAACCCAGAGATAAGGAATCAAGTTTTGCTAAGGAAAAATCAAGGCATACCTCCTGGAGGAGGTAGCTGTTGACTGGGCTTCCTAGGGGGAAGACATGGGGCTCCTCCCTCCAGCTACTTCCTGCCCAGTCCCCCCTTGAACTCTGTGATGAGAAGGGTGAGGATTCATGTCCTTACCCCTAAAGGCAAGGGAAACTGAGTCTATGCTCACCTTAGGGAGACAGCTGAAGACAGAGGTGCCACGCCAGTGAACGTGGGGTGCCAGCAGGGTGATGCTGAGAGCCTCCTGGTGGGCAGGGCTGCCTGGCTCAGATGTCCCGACCACAGCAGCACGTCATGCGTCATGGCACTCCTTGGCTGTGGCCTGATACTGCCCCGCTCTGCTGGGCTTTGTTTCCTCTCCTTGGGGTGGTGGGTAGTGTATAGAACTCTCCCAAGTCCCTTGGTGTAGGGAGGAGTTCAGAACAGTCATCGTGAGTCACTGAGGCTCAGTGACTTCAATTTTTGTTGGAGTCTTCATTTCTACATCTACGTCTTCGCATCTACATATCAGGGATGACATTCTACAGAGGCTGTAAAAGATTCAGCGATCATCTTTGCCAGCTCACCTTTATTGAGCATTTACTCTGTGCCTGGCACTGCTCACAGCGAGCTCTCGACCACCCTTTGAGGGCTACTGTTATTCCCATTTGACCTGTAGGAAAAATGAGGCTCAGCAAGGTGAAGCAGCTTGCCTGAGATCACACAGCAAGACCTTTGAGAGCTAAAATTCAACACTCTGGGGCAGAGTTGGAACTTTTTTTTTTTTTCTGTAATGGACCAGAGAGAGTAAATGCTGTGGGCTTTCTGGGCCCATTTCTGTTGCAACCACTCAGCTCTGCTGTCGCCTTGCCAACACGGCCATAGACAACACACGAATGAGTGGTCATGGCTGCGTGCCAGTGGACACCGACATTGGAATTTCATATAATTTGCACACACCATGAAATAATTCTTCTTTGGACTCTCCCCAGCCACTTTAAACCGGAAAAAAAAAAAAAAATTTGTAGCTCGTGGACTGCGGTTTGTTGACCTCTGGAGCCCATGCAGGTAACTGTGAATATTATGGAGGCTTGCCATGTTCTAGGCACTGGAGGGAGAAGGGACACAGGCAGATGGAGATGCCACTATTCAGGAGATAACCATGTTGTGGGCAAAACCTGCAAGGAAATAAAGGAATGAGAATATTTCAGATGGTGGAAATGCTAGGAAGGAAACCCCACAGGGGTGGTGTAACTGGGACCCCAGGGCGGGGGACACTTTCATGCAGGTCATCTGAGAAGGTGAGGCTTGTGGTCTCCCAAATACCTCTCTTTGTCATTTTTGTCAGTGGAAGCAATCCTTGGCTGTGGCCTACTGTGGGGGTAGGACTCAATGGGGCGCCCCGGTGGCTCAGTCAATTAAGCATCTGACTTCGGCTCAGATCACGATCTCACGGTTTGTGGGTTCAAGCCCCGCATCGGGCTCTGTGCTAACAGCTCAGAGCCTGGAGCCTGCTTCGGATACTGTGTGTGTGTGTGTGTGTGTCTCTCTCTCCCCTCTCCACTCGTGCTCTGTCTCTCTTTCTCTCAAAAATGAATAAGCATTAAAAAAAAAAAATAAACAGACTGGCCCAAGGGGCTCCTGGATGTCTCAGTTAGTTGAGCTTCTGACTCTTGATTTCAGCTTAGGTCATGTTCTCATGGTTGGTGTGATCGAGCCCTGCATGGGGCTCTGTGCAGAACCTGCTTGGGATGATCTCTGCCTTTCCCCCACACAGGTGCACCCCCCTCAAAATAAATAAAAACCATGAAAAAATCTTTTGTTAAAAATTTTTAATGTTTATTTTTTCGAGAGAGAGAAAGAGAGAGAGAGAGAGAGAGAGACTGTGAGGAGGGAAGGGGCAGAGAGAGAGGGAGACATAGAATCTGAAGCAGGCTCCAGGCTCTGAGCTGTCATCACAGAGCCCGGCACGGGGCTCGAAACCAGGCGCCTTGAGATCATGACCTGAGCCAAAGACGGATATTCAACTGACTGACCTACCTAGGTGCCCTAACATTTAAAAAAAAAATCTTAAAAAAAAAGAAAAACCAACAGACTGGCTTCTTGGCAGGGTGATGCCATCAGGAGATGGCCCTTTGGCCTCAGTATCTGTATATTTCCTTCCTGGTTGGTCACGTTCCTAGGAGACGACCTTCTGCTGTCCCATCTTCCTAGTCCTGGGTGCTGAGTGGGAGTGAGGATTGAGGTGGGGAAATTTCAGTCCCAGCACTCAGGGTCACCACGCTTAAGACTCTGGTTTCCAGGCTGACCCTTCTACCCGCATCTGGGTTCCTCTCGAGGAAAAAGTAACAGAAACAGCTGATTTTCCACCTTGGTGGGGAGAAAAGCTTTTGTCTCTGTTGGGAAATCTACTTGCAGCAAACTCTTCTATTTTAGCTGCCACCCACCAGCTTTAGGAGTGGGAGGGGGGCAGGGAAGTGGGAGAGTGTCACTAACAACTGCGGCTCGGGGATGGTAATGGTGGAATTGCGCCAGAGAGATTATATTTGGCTTCCCAGCCTTCCGGCTAACAATTCTGGTTTAGTTTTCAAAATAACTGCTTAGCTGTCACCGCACTGGGGTTTCAGGAAAAAGCGCAAGTCGATCTGGTACTCATCATCTCCGCCAGAGTGACGTTGGAACTGAAAGTGAACGGCAAGAAGGTAAGAAGGTGTCCGCTGCCTGCCTGCCGGTCTGGGGAAGGAACATTCATTCCAGCGGCAAGTGCGAAGGAAGGTCGGCGGTGCAACGCCCGAGGGGAGCATCAGAATGGCCTGGAAGGCTCATCGCCCCTCGACTCCTGGGTTTCCGCTCCCATAGCCTCAACAGGCCTAGCCTGCGGTGCTAGAATTTGCATAGCTAACAAATCGCCAGGTGCTGCTGCTGCTAGTTTGGGTATCACACCTTATAAACCACTCATGTACACCGGAAGCATTTAGCACCTGTGAGCCACCGACAGCCAGTACCATCATTGTTTTCTTCCCGTAATTCCCCAGGGAGGCCCAATATCTATACCACGACAGGACGCAGGGGCATGCCATCCCATACTTAACCAACATTCCCACCCCCTCCCCACCCCGCGTTCCCAGGCTGCGGGGCAGGGCCGAGATCAGGTGTCCGACAGGCCGCTCCCATTCTCCGCAGGGAGAAGTGAGGCCTGCAGATCAGAGGGTTGGCAGCGTCCACCGGGCTGGTCAGGGTGGAGCAGGGCTTATGTAGGAGCTCAGGGCTTTTCCAGGGCCGCCTGTCTCTTAATAATAAACGGTGGCTTCCTCTTTTGGGGCCGAGTTTTGGCCGCTGCTCCGCTCCTCCTCCGCCTCCGCCTCCACCGCGGGACAGCGAATGGGAAATTTGAGTTTCCTCTGCTTTGGCCAAGCCTGGCTCTTCCCTACAAGGGGGATTTCTCTATCTGGACTCTCCAGCCTTCTGCTTGTGGGGTCCAGAGGGGGCCCCTGCCGGGAAGCGCCCAGGTAGGTGGGTGGGGGCAAGACGGGAAAGGCCCAGGGCTCCCGGGGAAGGTGAGGGAGGCTTGGGGGAAGGGCTGGAGGCTGAGGCCTGGCTGTCCTCTGACCCCTCTGCAGATATGCTGGATTTAGGGGAGCGCTGGGGTGGGGCAGGGGACCAGTGCGGGGGTGGGGTGGGGGCTAGGGAGTGGCAAGAAGGAAAGGGAAGAAGACAGACTGAGAGACTAAGAAACTGAAAATCAGCGAGTCGGAGACCTAGAGAGACAGGGAGAGCCGCGGAGAGACGGAGGCAGACGCACGGAAATAATGAGGCCGAGAGATGGAAAGGTCCGTTGCGCCCTCCTACGCGGTCAGATAGAGCGAGAGAGGCTCCGAGGAAAGAGGCGCTGCAGAATTAGAGAGACCCCCGGGAAGCCGGGGCATCACCCGGGAGACACACCCGGGAGAGAAAGAACTAGGGACGAAGAGGAAATGGCGGGGTAGACCTCGGAGGGCCAGGAAGGAGATGGAGAGTGGAGATTCAGAGAAGAGAAAGTTAGGGAAACTTCGCACGGAAGGCCGAGGGGGCGGGACGCCGGGATCCCCACCCGCCCCGCCCCGGAAAACGCGACTTCCGGATTGCTATAAAGCGCGGGGCCCCGGGCCGGGCTGCAGCCGCCCGCCGCCGGCCATGTGCCCCCACACCGACGCCGTCCGGGACCCCGAGGCCCAGCGGCCGCCCGCGCCCCACGGCCCCGCCTGCCGCCCGCTGCCCTGGGCCCTGGGCGTCGCGCTGGTCCTGGCCGCAGGCACCTGCGCCGCCTGCTGGGTCAGCACCTGGGTGGCGTCCCAGGTCCCCACGACGGCCAGCCCCGGGCTCCCCGCCGCCCCCGAGCCGCCGCCCGACGCCCACGCCCGCCTCCCCGACTCTCGGCAGGTGAGACGCGCCCGGAACGCCCTCTCCGCGCCCACCCCCGGGGCCTCCCGGGAGCACCCCATCTCTATCCAAGACTTCGTGGCGCACCCCCGGGAGACCCCATCTGCATCCCGGGGCTCGCAGGGGAACCCTTTGTCCATCGCGGACCCCGAGGGCGCTTCTTTTTCTCGAACTGTTGAGGGGACTCGAGGTTCTTTGCTAACTCCCGGAGAGCCTCGGTGTTCTCCTGCACCCTTGGGGTGTCCCCCTTTCCCTCCCGAGGGCCCCTAGAGGGCATCTGCCCTCCTTCCTGAATCGTGAGGTTCCGCCCTCGCAGACAGACCCCCGGGTTGGGGCCGGGTTGGGGCCGGGGTGTGCGCGCGCTCCTGTGTCCCTGGGGCTCCACGCCCGCGCACACCCCGGGGACCCCCGCTTTCCCGGGGGCTGCGGCAGCGGGAGGGGGAGCCTCCGTTCCACTCTCCGCCTTTGCTCTCCGCAGGCCGTGTTCGCGCAGCTGGTGGCCCGAGATGGTGAGTGTCCTGCGTCATTCCCTTTGGGGGCGCGGCGGTCCGGGGGTGGCGACAAGGTTGAGGAGCCCCGGAGACAGGGAGGCTTCCACTCCCCCCGTCTGATCCTCTTTCCCCCATTCTCTAAAAGCTGTCCCCTCGCCTCTTTGAACCTTCTCTTTCTGACCTTCCCTTGACCCCGCTGTGGATGCCGCTTTTCCTCCTTTGACCTCCACGTGTGCCAACGCAAGACGCGCGACCCCCGCTCCGCTCCGCGCCCCACGGATCCCAACCTGCTCTTCTCTCTCCCGCTCGGTTCCTGTAGGTCCGGGCTGGGCTTTGCTCTCTCCCGTTTCCCTTCGCTGCTTCTGAAGGCCTCCTCCTAACCTTCCCCTTCCAGACGCTTCCTCCCTGTTCTCCCCTACCTTCCCCTTCCCCTCTTCTGGCGCCTTCCCCACGCTCCCCTCTTCACTCCCCTCCCTCTCCCGACTCTTCTTCCCACCCCTTCCCCTCAGTCTTCTCCCCCTTCCTGAGACCCTCCCCACCGCCCCCTCTCCCTCTCCCTCCTCCCTCTCTGAGTCACCCCCACCGCCTGGCCCTCACCAGCCTCACCTCTTCCTTCCAAGAATCCCCCCAGAGCCCCAGCGCCCCTCCCCAGGGCTGCACCTCTGCCCCACAACCCTGCTCAGCCAACCTCCCCTCTTCTTCCTCCTTCAGTACAGCTGACTGAAGGGCCCCTGCGCTGGCACAGCGACCCAGGCCTGGCAGGGGTGTTCCTGGGGCCCGGCCTGAGCTACGATGAGCACACGCGGGAGCTGATGGTGGCTGAGCCTGGCGTCTACTATGTCTTCTTGAACCTGAAAGTGCAGCGGGTGGTGTCCGGCGGTGGCTCCGGCTCAGTCTCCGTTGCGCTGCACCTGCAGCCGCTGGGCACTGGGGCCGCAGCCCTGGCCCTGACCTTGGACTTGCCATCTCCATCCTCCTCGGACTCAGCATCCGGCTTCCGGGGCAGCCTGCTGCACCTGGGTGCAGGCCAGCGCCTGGGAGTTCACCTGCGCGCAGAGCGGGGGGCACACCCTGCCTGGCAGCTCGCCCAGGGTGCCACGATGTTGGGCCTTTTCCGAGTGGCCACCAAAGTCCCTGCCGGACTCGCCTTGCCGCCGTGGCCCGCTGACACTGGGCCTGGGCACCCCTTGCTGGACACAGAATGAATGCTGCCTTCTTTCACTGGGGCTCTTGGTGACGCCCGGCTACTCTACCTCACCCGGCTTGGCAGGGGTCCCCGCTGCTGACCCCCTCCTCGAGGACTCTCCAAGTCTCTCTCCCCTTCCTGCCCCAAGTCGAACTCTTGGTATTTATTCTGAGCCTGAGCTCAACGATGTACTTTATATTAATCCATTCAGTTTATATTTATTGAGCATCTATATGGCGGGCCCTGTGCAGGGCTGGAGAAACATCAGCAAACAAAACAGGAAAAAAAAACCTATTTATGTTAATATGTGAGAAATAAAGACTCCTCCGCAGCCCTGCTGTGTGACATTCAAGGGGTTGGTCTTTGGGGGGTCTGTGTGACTATGCTGTGGGACCTTCATCATGGAATTTGTTTTGAGCATCTCCTGTGTTGTCAGGCCTGTGTTGGGGACACAGCTCTGAGCAAGACAGTTAGCCCAGCGATGGCCAAGCTGGCAGTCAGGTATGCCTGCTTGACACTATGACCATGATTGGGTGTGACCAGACCACGTGGGGGAGCGTGAGACGGTGCGTGGCACAGGATTATATAAAACTTACAAACTTAATGACTATGAAGTAGCGAGGCTTTAGTATACACCAGGCAGCATGAGTTATCTTATATGAGACATAATTACCCTGTGCTTTGGGGATTTCTTTCCCATTTTATTATTATCTGGGCTCCCAAGGTTACCTACTTCTTGTAGCTGTGTGGTGGAAGTGCTGTGTAACGGCATTTGGCAGACCCTGGCTTGCCAACTCTGTTCCGTGACCTCATGCTGGTAACTTAAAGTCAGCTGGGGGGCGGGGGGGCACCTATGTGCAAATGCTTCAGGTGCACTTAATGTATTGTGTATGGATCGCCTGTTTAAGACAGTGATGGAGGAAATTATGTAAAACATGTGGATTACGCTTAAAAGTGTGTCTTGTCTTGGGCTGTTGCGTTGTGCATAGCACATGAAAAATTGAGGAAGTCTTGTGTTTTGGGGCCATCATCTGATTTAGCAAAGATGTTGCTCAACGTGACTGGCAAGCCTGTGAGCGCGGACATCTTTGTCGTCCCTATTCATCTGAGTCTTTAAAGGAATAAGATCAACCTATGTCTAGCTGTCACTTGGAACCGCAGGTGGCTCTGGGGCCAGGAGTGGGGAAAATCAAAGGAGGCAACCTGCAGAAGTGACTATGGAGTTTGCAGTGAAGTGTATTTTATATATTTTTTTGCAGATTCTGTGCTGCACATTTTTGCCAACAATTGATAATAAATGCACATATTCATCCCCCCCCCCCCCCGCTCCCCGCCCGCTCTGGAGAACCAACTGGTTGTTAAGCATTTGCTAGCACACCAGTGTCTCCAGGCAGGCTGCCTCCCCGAGCCCCCCAATGTCCCCACCATGCAGATCTGCCTGCTGGTCCACACAAACCAGCTGGATCTCGGCTTTAATTTTTTTTTTTTAAACTATCTATTTATTTTTGAGAAAGAGAGGGAGAGACAGAGACAGAGTGCAAGCTGGGGAGGGGCAAAGAGGGAGACACAGAATCTGAAGCAGGCTCCAGTCTCTGAGCTGTCAGCACAGAGCCCCATGCAGGGCTCCAACCCATGAACTGTGAGATCATGACCTGAGCTGAAGTTGGGTGCTTAACCAACTGAGCCACCCAGGTGCCCTTTATGCAGGACAAATGGAGTTGGGGTGGGCAGAGAAGTCCCCACAGAGCAGATGACCTGCAGGCGTGTTAGGAAGAGGTAAGGCGGGGCGCCTGGGTGGCTTAGTCGGTTAAGCGTCCGACTTTTGCTTAAGTCATGATCTCGTGGTTCGTGGGTTCGAGCCCCGCATCGGGCTCTGTGCTGACTGCCAGCTCAGAGCCTGGAGCCTGTTTCAGTCTGTGACTCCCTCTCTCTCTGACTCTCCCCTGCTCATGCTGTCTCTCTCTCTCTCTCCTAGAAATAAATAAAACATTAAAAAAATTAAAAAAAAAAAAAAAAAAGGAAGAGGTAAGGCAATGAAGGAGGCAGAGTTGGGAGAGTGGCCTGCACTGGCCAGACAGGGGTGGGGGGGTGGGGGGGTGGGGGGGATGAGCAGTGAGGTTGCGGACGTGGAAGTGAATGCCGTTTGTCTGACTCACCTCTACCCGTTCTCAAAGAGTCTCTCCTGAGTGGGCAGAACTGGCATTGAGCAGACACATATGAATGTCTCCCATCTTGGAGTTGGTTGTTCTGTGACTAAGAAGTGCAAAATGACCTCTGAAGGCCCACGGAGCAGTTAAGATGGGAGAAAAAGGTGTGATAGTTGAGCTGTATGAGAAATGCTTTATTAAGGGGACTTATAGGCAGAAGCCGGTTTGGAGTGGCTGCAAGATAAGCAGGTATCTGGAGCCCCACCTCCTGTCAGACCCACTGGAGGCTGGGCGTCCATACGGCGGGGGGGGGGGGGGGGGGCACACAGGAGGAGAATGGGTCAGAGTCCTGTCTCCAGAGTGGTCAAGGACCTCTGATACTCAAGGGTGTGGTTAAATAAAAGGGAAAGCATGTGTGGGTGGGGTGCCCTACTTCAGAGTGATCATTGTGGCCATTTGTCCAAGATAGCTTTAGTCTGGTTCGCACATTGGCAAATGCGTGTTACTGCCTGTCCCCACTGCTAGACGCCTCCTCTCGACTCCCGCCGTCCAAAACCTTGCACAGGGTGCACCTCCAGGGTGGCTAGGGGAAGAGTGCTCTCCAGAACTCTTTGTCCAGGGGCCAGCTTCCGGCTACCCAGGAAGCCTGGTGGTTGCCTATTTTTGAGTAGCACCTGGTGACGCCAGTCCTCTGGGGTAGCTGATTGGGCCAGAATAGACAAGTGACTCAAGCCGGGCCAATCAGATCCCTTCCACAGGAACAGGGGCAAGCCTGGCTCCCCGGAGGGTATCGATCAGGAATCAGAAGCCGGAAGCTGAATGTGAGAGAGAAGCGTAGAGGGAACCACGTGCAGAGAGAGGGAGGGTGGGGAGGAAGATGTATGGGGATTCACACATGAGACCAAAGAGCCCTGAAGAGGCAGGGGAGCTACCTGGGTTTCCTGCTTGTGTCTTCCCGGTGATGTGGGAAAACCCTAGTGGCGTTAGTTTCATGGGGCTGCTCTAACAAAGTACCATAAACTGGGTGGCTTAAAGCACCAGATAACTATTGTCTGCCAGTCCTGGAGGCCAGGAGTTCAAATTCAAGGCGTTGGCAGTTCACACTCCAGAGCCCCTGCCTCTTCCAGCTTCTGGTGGGTGCTGGCCCTCCTTGGCGTTCCTTTCCCGGCTGCTGACGTTACTCTCATCTCTGCCTCCATTGGGGAATAACTGTTTTCCTTCTCTGTGTCTTATCTGTTTCTCTTCTGTTTGTATAAGGACACGGCTCATGTTGGATGGAGGGCTCACGCTACTTCAGTATAACCTCATCTTAATTTAACTAGTGACATCTATAAAGACCCTGTTTCCAAATAAGGTCACATTCTCAGGTTCCAGGAAGGACACGAACTTTTTTTTTTTTTTTTTTTGGCAGCTGGGGGCCCGGGTGACATTATTCAACCCAGTCCATTTAGTATCTACTCTTGGCAGCCATGAGAAACTTGGGTGCTCTCCCATGTGAATTTCCTTCTGGGGTGGGTTCCGTTTCATGCTGCCTGATGATACAGGCCTTCAAGGCTGTTGGTGGCTTTCTTGGTAGTTTTGGGATCTGAGAGTCTGTCCTACTTCCTGAGTTATTTGGGTCTGGGGGTGTCCCACAGCAAGGATGCTTGGGCCCCATAATGTTGTAGGATGTTACCAATACCCAAGGTATACAGATGGAATTTGACAATAGTGATAGTAATGACAGCTGACATTTATTAATGCTGACTGTTCCCAGGCACTAATTGCTTTGCAAAGACTCCGGCAAGAAGGTACTATTTTATTTTAATTCCCATTTTGCAGGCAAAAAAACTAAGGCCCAGAGAGGTTAGCTCAAGATCACACAGCTAATAACAGGTAGAGCGGTTGACAGTGTGACTTCCTGGAACCCTAGTCACTTCCAAGTAACCTCATAGAATACAGAAAAGTCAGGGCTGAATTGTGTCCTCCCTCATTCATATGTGGGAGCCCTACTGGCTCAGGACCTCAGAATGTTACTGTGTTTGGAGATAGGGTCTTTACAGGGGTAATTATGTTAAAATGAGGTCATTAGGCTAGGCCCTAATCCAGTATGACCGGAGTCTTTGTAAAAAGGGGTAATTTGGAGACAGACACGCACACACAGGGGTAATGCCATGTGACTGTGAAGATGGACATCAATAAATCAAGGCGGGTCAGGCCTGGAACAGACCCTTCCCTTGCAGCCTCAGAAAGAACCAGTCCTGACCACTCTTTGATTTTGGACTTCTGGTCTCCAGAACCGTGAAAGAATAAATGTCTTTGCTTAAGGCACCCAGTTTGTGCTTCTTTGTTATGATAGCCCTAGCGGACTAATACAGGTGGTTACAGGAGTCTGATGCATTTAGGGCACACTCAGTGCACAGTGCCAGGCTCTCGATAAGCACTCAATGCCTTTCATACCAATGTACACATGGAATCCTACAGTGATACATAGATGTGCAACAAAGAAACAATGGAGTGCCTGGGTGGCTCAGTCCGTTAAGTGTCCAACCCTTGATTTTGGCTCAGGCCATGATCTCACGGTTCATGAGATAGAGCCCTTTGTCGCACGCTGAGCTGACAGCGTGGAGCCTGCTTGGGATTCTCTCTTTCCCTCTCTCTCTGCCCCTCCTGTGCTCATGCTTTCTCTCTCTCTCTCTCTCAAAAATAAATAAATAATCTTAAAAAAAGAAACAACAATTCACAGGAGAGGGGGTACAGTGACACATCTGTGATGTTATATTTTTTAAATTTTTTTCTTTAAAAAAATTTTGTGTTTATTTATTATTGATTTTTTAATAGTTTATTGTCAAGTTGGTTTCCATACAACACCCAGTGCTCATCCCCACAAGTGCCCTCCTCCATGCCCGTCACCCCCCTTCAGCATCAGTGGGGGAGGGGCAGAGAGAGAGGGAGACACAGAATCCAAAGCAGGCTCCAGGCTCTGAGCGGTTAGCACAGAGCCTGATGCGGGGCTTGAACCCACAATCTCTGAGATCATGGCCTGAACTGAAGTCGGATGCTCAACCAACTGAGCCACCCAGGTACCCCACATCTGTGATGTTTTAAAGTCACCCTTGCCAAGATGGGGGTTACAAAGTTACAAAGGCAATTCCAGAAAAATATGGGGTTGTAAATACAACCACAGAGGGGTGCCTGGGTGGCTCAGTTGGTTAGGGCTCTAGTCTTGATGATCTCTTGGTTGGTTGTGAGATCTAGCCCCATGTTGGGCTCTGCGCTGAGTGTAGAGTCTGGGTAAGATTCTCTCTCTCCTCCTGCCCCTCCCCTGCTCTCTCTCTCTCTCTAAAAATATAAAATAAAATTTAAAAAGTTAAAAAACAAAAGACAACCATGGATTTATAGTCCTTCTTCTACAACCATAAAATCCCCAAAGCTCTTTCAGCAGCCCAAATGGACTGAACTCACCTGAATGTGTTTATGATGTTTACTTATTCCCTAGCTCCTATAATAGGGATGTTAGAATGCTTCTTAATGGGTGCTATTCCAGAAGCCCGTGGTGTGTGGTGGTAATATATGTATAATATACACAGTGAGTCCCCTCTAGTATGATGTAATTTATATGGTACGAGTCGGCTTTATTACTCACACAAAACCACTTCTGGCTCTTCTGGCCACCAAATCTGTGGAGGTTTTTCTTGACACCAATAAGCAATTCTCAGCCACCAACAAGGAGTCATCTGGGAGTCCCCCACCCCACACTCCACCCCAGGGTCACCTCATAGAACAAAGGTGCTTCCTAGTGTTTTTATTAGTTAGGAATTTACTAGGGTTTAGAAGTCCTGTGTTGAGGGTGAGGTCAGATCTGTATCTGTATCTGTATGTATATCTATATCATCTACCTATCCATATATGTCATGTTACCAGTGTAAATGCTGGATTGCAAAACATTTGGCTTCTAGGGTTTGGGATCAGGGACTGTGGAATTGTATTAGAGACTGGGATGTAAATCCAGACCCTTCACAAGAGGTGGGACGTACAAAGCAGTGATGGCCCACCCACACCATCCTGGGGGAAGTACTCTTTGGAGGGGGGTTTTCTGTCTGAGGTTTCTCAAGATTTTTCAAGTGAGCTTTCCAACCTCTCTGTGAAGAGTCAAGGCTCTTCTCATCCCTCTCTTGCTTCCCACAAGCTCTGGTTCGGTCTGCTCAGGAAACCCCTGCTACCCAGGATGGGGATGAGGATGGAGATGGCTCTGAGGCCACTGAGCAGAGACCCTTCGCCACTACTCCCCGTCCCCCATCCCCCACCCCCGGCTCCCAGCAGTGCTTGGGATGAATTTCCAGTGATGGAAGCAGAGTGGAAAGCCTGAAGCCTTGCACCAAACTTCTCATGTGCCCGTGTGTGTATGTGTGTGTGTGTGTGTGCGCGCGCACCCGTGCTGGGAGCAGTATGGTAAGAAAACACTGTAGATTTGTCTACAGAGCAATTTTTCAAATGGTGTTAAGAATACTTAACATGAGAGCTGCCCTCTTAACAATATTGGAAGTGCACAACACAGTATTGTCAGCTACAGGCATAATGTTGTATAGTGGAGTTCTAGAATGTTGTATAGTGGAGCTCTAGAGTTTGGATAACTGATACTCTGCCCCCATTGAATGTGAATGACAATTACCTGGTTTCCTCAGTGGTCAGATTTCTAGGAATCTGACTACTTTAGATACCACATGTAAATAAAATCTTGTGGTATTTGTCTTACAGTCTGTGTCTATTCTATTTTACTTAGTATAATGTCTTCCAGGTTCATCCCTGTTGCTGCAAATGGCAGGGTTTCCTTCTCTCTCTCTTTTTTCACTTTTTTTAAAAATATTTTTTATTTTTTATTTCTAGGAGAGAGAGAGAGACAGCGTGAGCAGGAGAGGGTCAGAGAGAGAGGGAGATACAGACTCTGAAATAGGCTCCAGGCTGAGCTGGCAGTCAGCACAGAGCCCGACGCGGGGCTCGAACCCACGAACCGCAAGATCATGACCTAAGTGAAAGTCGGACGCTTAACCGACTAAGCCACCCAGGAGCCCCTCTTTTTTCACTTTTTAAAAAATTTTTTGAGAGATAGAGAGAGACAGAGCATGAACGGGAGAGGGGCAGAGAGAGAGAGGGAGACACAGAATCAGAAGCAGACCCCAGGCTCTGAGTAGTCAGCTCAGCCCAGAGCTCGACACGGGGCTCAAACTCACAAACCGTGAGATCATGACCTGAGCCAAAGTTGGAGGCTTAACCGACTGAGCCACCTAGGTGCCCCACCGAGTATGCATTTTAGACGTACACAGAGCTCAGTTCAAGCCCTCGTTCTGCTAGCTGAGCTGTGCACCCTTGTGCAAGTGCATTGACTTCTCTGTGCCTAGTGTCTTCAGCTGTAAAGTTGGAAAACATTTTGTGTCTCATGGGCATTTGGAAGTATTCAGTCAGTGAATGGGTTTAATAGCATAGCGCCTTGTACTTCACTCAAAATATGGAAGCTGTTATCAGTTGGCTCACAAGGAGATGGCATCGAAGGTCCCAAGTGCATCAGGCAAAGAGAGGGTTTGGGGAAGTGAGTTCCAGGTAGGCAGGGCAGCATGTACAGAAGCCAGAGGTAGGAGAGTGACCACAACAGAGTGAAATGGGGGGAAGGGGCTAGACCGTGCAAGCTTGAGGATGCAGGCAGTTTTATCCTGAGCACAATGGAGTGTTAGGAACACAAGAAGTCAGATTAGGTTTTCAGTCACAGTATATCTGTGTGGCAGGGATGTCGAGTTATAATAAAGAACAGAGAGTGGAGGCAAGGAGGCCCATGGGATTACTCAGCCGAGAGGGCAGGAAGTTTGGGATGGCGTGTTAGGTTTGAAGGTGGAGACGTGGTGTGTGCATATAAGAGAAAGATAGAAAAGGAACAGGAATTGGCAAGCCTTTGAGTATGGGTGAGGGGGAGGAGAAAGAGAAGCCAAGACTTGTGGCTCATGCAACTGGATAGATAAGTGGCATTTAGTGATTTGGGGACCCTGGAAGCTCATGGGTCACTTTGGGACGTATGGAATTTCCAGGTGCCTCTGAAGTGGCCATGTGGGAATATTAAGTAGGTTCTGTGGCTATGCAAGCTCTTTGGCTGGGATGGAGATTTAAGAGTTGTTGACATATCTCTGTAAAGAATGTTCAGGGCAAGGATGAGCTCTCTTAGAATAACAAATGAAGAGGTAGCAGAAAAGGGGGTCCAAGATCAAGCACGGAGGAACTTCAAAATATAATGGTTCAGCACGGAGGAACTTCAAAATATAATGGTGCAGTAGGAGGCCAGACGTGCACAAAAGCCTGAGAAGCAACACCCAAACAAGAAAGAGGAAAATCAAGATCCCAAGGAATGCTCTTCAAAGGAGGAAGTAGTGCTCAATGATATCTGATCCTGCAAGAAGTCTGTTAAGATGAGAACTAAAAATATCCTCCAGATTTTGAATCATCAGAATCATGAGTGGTTAACTCTTCTCAGGGGCATGAATGAATCAAGTTGCATCAGAGTGGCTTGAGAGATTAGTGACAAGTTAAGACTTTGAGATTGCCTCTACAGGCAACTTCTTTTAAAGAAGTGAGTATTTGGGGCGCCTGGGTGGCTTGGTCGATTAAGCGTCCAGCTTCAGCTCAGGTCATGATCTCACGGTTCATGGGTTCAAACCTGCTTCAGATTCTGTGTCTCCTTCTCTTTCCCTCTGCTACTCCCCCACTTGTTCTCTGTTTCTCTCTATCTCAAAAGTAAATAAACATTAAAAAAAATTTAAAGGGGGCGCCTGGGTGGCTTAGTCGGTTAAGCATCCGACTTTCACTTAGGTCATGATCTCGAGGTTCGTGGGTTCGAGCCCCGCGTCGGGCTCTGTGCTGACTGCCAGCTCAGAGCCTGGAGCCTGTTTCAGAGTCCGTCACTCCCTCTTTCTCTGACCCTCCCCTGCTCACGCTGTCTCTCTCTCTCCTAGAAATAAATAAAACATTAAAAAAAAATTTAAAGAAGGAAGTATTTGGAGCTCCCTTTAGCAGAACAGACAGTAAAATTGGAAGGATACAGAGAAGACTGGCATGCAACCTGCATAAGGGTGACATACAGATTTGAGAGGCATTCCATAATAAGAAAAAGAAAGTATTTGGAAATAATTTCAGATTTCAAGAAAAGTTACGTGAGTAAAGAGTACAAAGAACGACCACATATCCTTCATCAAGATGCATCAGTTGTTAACATTTGGTCCCATTTTCTTTAGCATGCGCTCTACTCTGGCCCCTGTACGAGAGTATAAACTGGAAGCATTTATTTAAGATGAGTCAAACAAAAACAAGATTATTAAGAAACAAACCCAGAGGAAACCAGAACCTCAAAGGCTGGGGCAGTTCTAGGAAATTCCAAATGTGGTGTAAGTGGATTCAAGAAATAGGAGGAAGTTTTGTGGTATTTATCAAGGTGATTACTTAGAAAGAAACATAAGAGGGTGTGGGACTGGGCAAAATGGGGGAAGAGGAGTGGGAGATAGAGGCTTCCAGCTATGGAATGAATACACTGTGGGGATGAAAGGCACAGCATAAAGAATATAGTCAATGGTATTGTGATAGCATTGTGTGGTGACAGGTGGTGGCTGCATTTGTGCTGAGCATAGCATAATACACAGACTTGTTGCATCACTATGTTGTACATCTGAAACTAGTGTAACATTGTATGTCAACTATACTCAAGAAAGAAAAGGAAGAAAGAGAGAAAGAAGAAAGGAAGAAAGAAAGAAAGAAAAGAAGGAAGGAGGGAAGAAAGAAAAAAGAGAAAGAAGAAAGGAAAAAGAAAGAAGGAAAGAAGAAAGAAAGAAGAAAGAAAGACACACATGGAAACTAGCTGGGCTAGCCCTACCTTCTCTTCTGATCCACACACTGAGCAAACCCAAGAATATAATTTATCCTTAGGCTAAATCAGTGGATGTAACATATCACTACACTCCTAAGTTAATTTATAGCAAATGGAACAGGCAGGAAAATTGGAATTGTCTTTTTTTTTTTTTTAGTTGATTTATTTATTTTTAAGTAATCTCTATCCCCAGCGCAGGACTCAAACTTACTACACCCTGAGATCAAGAGTCGCATGCTCCACTGTCTGAGACCATGGGTGCCCCAGGAGCATTGGAAGTTTCAAACTCAAAGCTGAGCAGACAACTGAGGATCATGGGAGATGTGACCAAAATCAATGCTATGAGAGACATACCCTGAACTCCACAGCAGCAGAAAAGAACCAATGCCTGGAGATGCAGAGCTAATAGAACAAACAAAAGACTCCAGAATTAGTCTAAACCATTTCCCTAGAAAGGCTTTGACAAATTTTAGATTTGATATTTTAAAAATTTTGTTTTTAATGTTTTATTTATTTCTAGGAGAGAGAGAGACAGCGTGAGCAGGGGAGGGTCAGAGAGAGAGGGAGTGACAGACTCTGAAACAGGCTCCAGGCTCTGAACTGGCAGTCAGCACAGAGTCCGCCGCGGGGCTCGAACCCACGAACCGCGAGATCATGACCCAAGCGAAAGTCGGATGCTTAACCGACTAAGCCACCCACGCGCCCCTAGATTTGATATTTAAATACATGACTAATAAAATCTATAACACTCCCTCAAACTGAGAAAACCCTCCATTATCAAACTTTCAGAGAGATATTAAAACCTGAAGATTAAACATTGTTGCTGACTAAAGTTAGGATGTTAAGGTGCAAAAAATTGACTTACCAGAGTGAGATCGGACAACACCTTTTCATTCACTCATTTATTTACTCAACAAATATTTACAGGAACTTTTTAATGTGTCAGCATGTTTCTAGGTACTGGGGATACAGGGTAAGAAAGAGAGACTGGGGTTCTACTTATATTCTAGATCAAGGGTCAGCAGGCCATCTCCGTTTTTCCAAGTGAAGCCTTATTGGAGCATGGCCATGATCATTTGTTTATGTATTGTGAATAGTTGCTCTTGTGGTCCAGTAGTGGAGTTGAGTAGCAGTGACAGAGGCCAAATGGCCCGTGAAGCCTTAAATATTTACCATCTGGACCTTTACAGAAACTCTTACTCATCTCCCTTCTAGATAATCCCGAAGTATAACAATTCAAGATGGCATAAATGCTGCATTAGTCGGAGTTCTCCAGAGAAACGGAACGAATAGGTAAGCATGTATGTGTAGAGAGATTAATTTTGAGGGATTGGCTCACACAACTGTGAGGTCTTGCAAGTCTGAAATCTGGAGGGTGGGCTAGCAGGCTGGAGACCCAGGGGAGCGTTAAAGTTGCAGTCCTGAATCTGAAGGTATTCTTTTTTTAAATTTTTAATGTTTATTTATTTTTAAGACAGAGAGAGAGAAAGAGAGACAGAGAGAGACAGAGAGAGAAAGAGAGAGAGAGAGAGACAGAGACAGAGTGCAAGCAGGGGGGAGGGAACAGAGAGAGAGGGAGACACAGAATCCAAAGCAGACTCCAGGCATTGAGCTGTCAGCACAGAGCCCAATGGGGGACCTGAACCCACCAACCGTGAGATTATGACCTGAGCTGAAGGTGGTTGCTTTACCACCTGAGCCACCCAGGAGCCTCTACACTTGTCTTTTCTATGTGGCTTGTGCTTCTCACAGCATGGCAGGCCCTCATGGTAGCTGGATTCCAAGAGGCAGGGAGTGGAGGCTGCCAGGACTGTTCAGCACTACACCTGAGAGTCGCTTATATCATCTGCTATTCTTTCCTTATAGCCCACCCACATTTAAAGAGGTGAGAAAGTGTCTCTGGAGGGCAAGTTCCAATTACAGAAAGGCCCATTGGGATGGGAGATGTTAGGACACTCATCTTTGAAACACACCATCTGCCATGGCTTATTAGGAGGATTTAATAAAATGATGTATCTTTAGCAACCAGAGAAGGCTTCTTGTTACAGGAAGTGGTAGAGTCTGGTATGTAGGATGAGATGCAGATGAGAGACCCATCTTTGGCTTGCCAAAGTGTAAGTAAGCTCCATGATAGCAAGAGTTTGAAATTTACTGATGAATCCCAGGCATTGAGAACAGTGCCCGATATATTAGGCACTCAACAAATATGAGTGAATAAGGGGGAGACATACAAAATTGAGCATTTCAGGGCACCATCATGGGGAAAGCAAACAAGAGGCTCTCAGCATTTGGTGTGGCTTCACAGGATCCACAGAAGTCTTACAATCTGAAGAATTCCCCCCAAGAAGGAAGAGGAAGTGTGCAGTGGCTACATCTATAGAGAAGGTCTGAGAGCCTCAGAATTCCTAGTAGTGCTGACTGGTGAAGTCATCTCTCTCCGGCAGCCAGTTAGTAAAGACTGAAAGACATGAGCCATTCTTCAATCTGAAGACACCAATGCAAGACTTCAAGGAACATGAAAAATCAAGAAAACAAGACACCGCCAATGAAAGACACTAATGTTTCAGTAATTAACCCAAAGAAACCTAAATATGGTGAGGGGGAAGTAAGAGGGTAGAGTTATTTTATGTGATTGAAGTAAAGCTGTAATAAGCTTTAAAAAATACTGTTTTAAGTATGAGATGTTTAGGGCACCTGGGTGGCTCAGTCTGTTAAGTATGAGATGTTTTATGTAAGTCTCATGAGAACCACAGAACAAAAACTGATAGTAGATACAAAAAAGATAAAGGGAAAAGAATCAAAGCATATCACTACGGAAAATCATCAAATCAAAAAGGAAGGTAGCAAGAAAGGAATAAAGGAACAAAGGAGCTACAAACAGAAAACAATAAGATGGCAGTAGTATGTCCTTACCTATCAATAGTTACTTTAACGGTGAATGGATTACATTCTCCAATCAAAAGACATAGAGTGGAGGGTCACCAAAGTGGCTCAGTCAGTTGAACATCTGAATTTTGATTCTCTCTCTCCCTCTGCCCCTCTTCCCTGCTTGCATAGTGTCTCTCTCTCTCTCTCTCTGTCTCACTCTCTTTCTCTCTCTCAACAACAACAACAACAAAAGACAGAGTGGATGAATGAATTAAGAAAACAAAACCAAGACACAACAATATTTTGCCTACAGGAGACACATGTCAGCCTTAAGAACACAGAAAGGCTCGAAGTGAAGAAGCAGAAGAAGACATTTCATACCAATGGAAGCCAAAAGAGAGCAGAGGCAACTATGCTTTTATCAGACAAAATAGACTTTAAGTCTATTTTATAAGAGACACGGTCATTATATAATGATAAAAGAGTCACTTCATCAAGAGGATATAACACACACATATATATCTCCAGCACATATTTCCATGGTATGCAGATATCAGAAAATCTGAAGGGGGACATAAGCAGTCATGAAACAATAATAGAGGACTTCAATACTCCACTTCAATGGTGGGTAGATTAGCCAGGCGAAAAATCAATAAGGAAACATTGGATGTGAACTGTACTTTGGGCTGAATAGACCTAACAGGATACAGGACATTTCATCCAACACCAGCAGAATAGACATCTTTTGGTATACGTAGGACATTCTTTGGGATAGATCATACGTTAGGTCACAAAACAAATTTAAGAACATTGAAATCAAATTAAGTATCCTCTCTAACCACAGTGATATGAAACCAGAAATCAATAACAGGAAGGAAATGAAAACATTCATGAATATGTGGAAATTAATCGATATACTCCTAAACAATCAATGGGGCAAGGAAGAAATCAAAAGGGAAATTAAAACGTATCACGGAGCAAATGAAGATGGGAATATTAGATACCAAAACTTATGGAATGCAGCAAAGCAGCTGGATAAGTTAAAAAAAATGGATAAATTCCTAGAAATCTACAACCTGCTGGGATTAAATTATAAAGCAATAGAAAATATGAACAGACCAATGACTAGTAAGAAAATTTAACCAAAATCAAAAGTCTCCCAACAAACAAACCAGACGGTTTCACTGGTTATTTCTTCCATACATTTAAAGAGAAATTAATTTCATTCCCTCTCAAACTCTTCCAAATAACAGAAGAGGGGAAAACTCTTCCAAATTCATTTTATGAGGCCAGTATTGCCTGGATACCAAAGCTGGACAGAGACAGAACAAGTGATGAAAACAATACAGTACTGGCATAAAAGCAGACACAAATCAATG